GTTGAGTATCTTCTGTCGTCATCATTTTGAGAGGAGAGGTTACCAGCACTTCACTCTCTTTGTCAATCATCTTATGTCTGCAGGACTATGGTTAGCCTAATACAGTAATCACGCTAAATGGCTGAGGATCTCCCTGCTTCACCAACGTTGAGACGTATAGCTTCTATATAACTACACCCCTTTGTAGTCGGACTTCCCCTCAACCAATTGGATCCTGTACCAAGAACCTCTGTCTCTTGCAATGCGAAAGACGAATCCTAGATGGTCGTTTAGCAATCTTTATGGCCGTAGGTGTCGTCAGCAGGACCTGGTATGGGCCTTCCCACTTTGGACTCGACCAACACTTCCTTTTGATGACCTTTATCAGCACCCAGTCTTTTTGTTACACAAGTTCCCCATTTTGATTTTCCATCCATCCATCCATTTTCATCCGCTTATCCGTTACCGGGTCGCGGGGGCAGCAGTCGCCACCCAAATCACACTGCACCGTCCATTTTGATTTTTTTTATTACATTTTTTAATTTTTAATTTTTGTTATTTTACACTGCGCATAAAAAAAACTAAAAAAAACTAAAAAAAACTTAATAGTTGGTCTTGTGATCTACTTCAACTGATTAGCAGTCGTACGTTTACACCGTTAGGGTTCAGACTGCCCGCTGATTCGATCACAATTCCTCCTCAGTCACATACATTCACATTCACTTTGGTTTATTCTAACATATATGACGACAAAGTAACAGCACAAAAGACGTCTGGATTTTTTACTTGCAAGGGGAGAGTGCATCTTACTCTTCTGGCAGCTTCCTCATTAATTCCGAGTAGCCCCACCCTTCCTCTGCACTTTTATTGAGTTTATAAAAGTATCAGATTGCATATCATGTTATCGTGTGTGAGTATATGGATGGGTATGGAGTAAGAAGCTGGGTGTGAATGGGGGTGTGACTGTGTCTGGTAATTTCTCCATCAGTCTTGAGCACACTAGATTATAATATGAGAAGCAAACAGTTTCTTAAAGCGACAGTACAGCATGAAGCAATGATAATAAATTAAATTCTTCCAACAATACAGAGTGGCAGGAAATAAGTGGGAGAACAGGAAGAGCAAAGTGGGATTTTCCAGGGTTTTAATCTGTATTAGCATCAGGGATGAAGATGTATATTTGAAAAAAAAAACAAAACAAACATAAGCATCAACGAAGGTCACAAAAGCATTATTTGAAAACAAGCACTTGGTGAATCGCAGATCTTTTAATTCCCAAAACCGAGTTACGTTTCACTGCTGGTAATTTTGGATTTGAATCTTGTTACGTTGATGATGATGCGCCGTTCATTATAAACAACTTTGTGGGAAAGAGCAAAACTGAGAAGCCACTTATTAAGTGGCCGTTTGTAGCCATGGACTAATGGGATTCTACAGTGACTGTCGAACACCTGATTAGGCAACGCGCCGATGGAATAATCACACATTAGGCTGCTGTCAATTTGTCCAATCACATCTCATCAGTTCGTTATTTCGCTAATTTGTCAGTTGCCTTAAACGAGCTCTGGAGCGACATACATTGAATTACAAACACAAATGCTACTTCATGTCTTGTAATAGGGATTGATGAACACCTCCATCCCATAATGTGACTCTTGTATGCAGACAGTCGAACTGAATGACTGTTTGTTTGTCTGTTGTTAAAATAACCAACTGAGTATGGTGTACAAACACATCAACGCAGTACTGTCTGGACTTGAAAGTATAAATACTACAGTCACATGCATAAAATATGTATGTTATCAAACAATTGACATTTTTAATCATGTAAACAAAGGGAAGTAGTGATTAATCGCAATTATTTTTTTAAAGAATTAATCACAATTAATCATGATTATTCAAGAGTTTCAATGTTTCTGGTTCTCGCGCAATGCAAGATGGTCCTGCAAGATTCTTCTACCCACAACGCCACAGGCTACACAACTGGTTGCTACATTTTAATTTTTGTTGTTGATCGAATAATCGTGTGTTTAAGAGATAGGAATTGTGAGAAAAAAAATTTGCCCCTTGCTCCCTCAGTGCCTCGACGACCTGCCTGCCGTTCTGTCAGGGATCAACTCCCAGACTCATCTTGTATGTCCAGATTATGCCAATCCGTGGTTCGTGGACCACAATGTACACAAGTGTTGAAGAATAGAATGCATGCAGGGTGGAGTGGATGGAGACAAGAGTCAGGGGTGATGTGTGACGGAGAGTTTACGGGAGTGTGAAGGTTGAAGTGACAGTAAAGACACCATCGACAGTGGATTGTTTGGGGATGACAATGGTGTTGTCTGAAAGATAAGTGGCTGAACATGAGGAGCCAGAGATTAGGGCATGACCGAGATGGAAAAGATTAGACCACGTCAAAGAAATGGCCAGGACTGAGGGGGCTGAGGGGTGGGGGTAGGGTCGGGGTAGAGTATGGGGGGAGCTGGGTGTTAGATGGTTTCCATTTGGAAAAAAAACAAAATGTTGGCGATAAATCAGACCAGAGACTAGGCTGATGAAACGATGAAGGTTATAGTACAATTTAGAGGAGAATTAGTCAATAAGTCATGGTATATTTTATAGTATAGTATATTTCACAAATTTAAGGGTTATAGTTTTAATATAAATGTAGCTATAGCTGGTCTAGAATTGAACTTTTAGGCGACTGCACTTTAAAGCAAAGACAACCACACAGTCCTGTACATTTGGACCTGAAGGATGCTACATGCTACATGCTAGCACAGCCAATACACTGAGAGCTTGCTTGGGTAAGCTGCTACATGCTAGTGACAGTTTTAGAGTACCGCAAAGACTAACATGCGACATAATAGCATTCATGCTAACTCATTATTAGCCCCTTAAATGAAGTTGTTTCACATTTTCTTTTAATTCAAGTAAAATAATAAACATACAAGTACACACTATCATTACTTGCTTAGCGCCACCAATAGGTCAGTTTGTAATAATGCCATAATGTTGAAAGACTACTTTTCCACTTCACTGTATCACACAGTACATGGCAGTAGGACTTTTTACTACACCAGAGAAGAACTGTTGTCTTTCTTTCTTTTTTTTTCTTTTTGTCACACATCACCTTGGAGACCTGTCTCCACCCACTTCACCTACTCCACCCTGTCGTCACTCACTTCTTCTTCTTTTTTGTGCAGTAACTGTAGCATTGGATCAAGGATTTCTCTTGTCTCCTATTCCTCAAACATCAAACATGCCGTCTGACACAGTTTTCAATTCCTTTTGGCGACATGTGTGTGTGCGTGTTTTTGTGACCAAACCGTTTGTGTTTCGCTTCGTCGTTTTCCTACTAAACTCAAAAACACGAGGACCCTTCACATCCCCAAGATTCTTAAGGAGTACAGGCATGAAACACACACACACACACACACACAACATGTTGCACACACAAAATATCATTCGCTGAATATTCATAGCAAGCCAGCAAGCCCTCTTGGTCTTGGTCCAACGCAGGGTTTGTGTTAGGTTTATTCTAACATATGTGACAACAAAGTAACAACACAAAAGACGTCTGGATCTTTTACTTGCAAGGGGAGAATGCAGCTTGCTCTTCTGGCAGCTTCCTCATCAACTCCGAGTTGCTGCACCCTTCCTCTGCTCTTTTATATAGTTTACAAAAGTATCAGATTGCATATCATGTGATCGTGTGTGAGTATATGAATGGGTGTGGAGTAAGAAGCTGGGTGTGAATGGGGTGTGACTGTGTCTGGTAATTTCTCCATCAGTCTTGAGCACACTAGATTATAATATGAGAAGCAAACAGTTTCTCAAAGCGACAGTACAGCATGAAGCAATGATAATAAATTAAATTCTTCCAACAGTTTGTCTACATGTGTGTGTGTGTGTGTGTGTGACAAGAAGGTTGGTTTACATACAGAGGCATGGTTAGTGCTTTGTGTAATCCCAGGAAATCAACAGGAAACATACCCTCCTGAGAGAAGACCTTTTGTCTGTGGCACGTGTGTTTGTGTGTGTGTTCAACAGGGAAAGTGAGGGAAATTAATAAATAAAGTTCTGCCCCCTGCTGTCCTTTTTTGTCTTCCATTCCCTTACACACTCTAGGACACACACACGTCCACACACAAGTATGTGCACATACCCACAGACACAAAAACAGCCAGAAAAGTAATACAAAAACACACAGAGAAGCCAACAAGGCAGATTGAGACAGAAAGCTCAGTATGCTCTTATTTTACCTAATGTATATTTGCCAGAGTCTTCGGGTTTTGGGGTCCGTGTGTGTGTGTGTTCTCTCAGTGTGCGTGGAATGCGACAGTCCAGTTGGCTTCAGGTGGCAGCTTGCCTGCCACAGCTGTGGCGGTTTTAATGATCTTATCGGAGGATTACCATCTCAGGCTGAGCCGGGCGAGCAGCCTTGTCAGCAGCGAATGCTTCACAGTGTTAGGCAGATGACAGAACAGCCTGTCTTACGCCAGTAAACTCTCACCAAAAAAAAAAAAAAAACCACACACACACACACAACACAAAACAAAACAAATAAGCTCCACAAAAAGAAAAGTTTTTACGTCCTGTGTGTATGTGTGTCTGTGTATACCTTTAGTGGGACTGGTGACTGGTTCTCTGTTCCGCTTAATAAAGTGTAGTGCAGCTAGTCATTAAATTGGGTGAACGTGTGAGTGTGTGTGTGTGTGTGATGTTGAGGGGGTCAAGGCCAAATTGACATCAAGTGGTCCAAATGAGCCCCACTTGTCTACATTGATTTACGGTGGACAAGTAAATTGCGTCTGTAGCAGGAGGAGTGGAGAAGGAGGGGAGGGGCCGGGGGTGCAGTGGGGAAGGGGTGGCGTTTTCTATAATTGATCTTAAGCCGTCGCTGGTGTGAGTTTGCGCTGACAGGAACAGTGTCACGGTGACGAGACGTGTGTCGCGTTGTCATCATGTGTGACATTTTCATGTAATCTTTTGCTCGGGTGTCTCGTGGCGCCGAGTTCTGAGGACGGGTTAATGAATTAACATGGTACCAGGGCTCGTCCTGGAAGTTATAATAAGGTTTATTTTGTGATCATGTGTTAAAAAAAGGGTTTTGATTGACAGCTACATGAACAATGTCAAAATGAAATGAAATAAATAATGAAATACATGGCAAAATATGCAAAGCTGAATAAAGGAGTAATGTTTCCATTCACAGTGAATCTTTGGTTGCTGTTGACAATTTATGTAAAAAAATAAATAAAAAAATGTAATATTAAACTACTAGAAATTTGAGAAGCAGAAGTGTGTGGAAGCCCATTACACACAAATGGGATTTTTTGTTTTGTTTGCACTTCACATCACCCCTTACCATAATGCAGTACTTCTCAAGTAGTACTTCTCAGTACTTCTCAAGTACTTCTTAGTACTTCTCAAGTAGGCATCTGGGGGGCCCGAGGGGCTTCCAATGGATTATGGCACGCTGGACATAAATGTACCACTGTTATAATGCTAGAATGATAACAAGTCTCCAGTCACTAGGTGGCAGCAACTCATACAGTGGTTTGTAAAGAAAAAAAAATTCCCTCTCAGGTCAGTGGGTCTGTAAAATGTCCCCACATTAGTATTTGTTCAACAGTGTCCCTTTAAGTATAGCTGCACCAGAATAGCACACACACACATTTTTACTTTTATCACATCAGTCGATGCCTAAACTGTATTTTAACAAAAGCAAAAAAAAAAAAAAAAAAACACAAAAAAAACAACTTCACTTTCTGGATATCAATTTTGAACACATAAAACCTGATTGTCCCTGAAAAAAAAAAAAAACAGTGACAGCGCCAGAAAGGCGTCCTGGAAAGGTAACAAAACGGACTACTCCACATACTCACTCACAGTTGGCTATTTATGGTCTCCACAAACGGCCTCCAAAGATGCCCAAACACATATCCTTCGGTGCAGTCTGGCCGGGGCATAAGCTATCAGACGTGATCAACACACAAGCTCATGCGCAACTGCACTCTCAGAGCCTGAGCTGCTCCCTACACCAGCTTTAATTGGATTCTAATGTATTCAGTTTGCTCTGCCAAGCGAAGAGACGTCTATGGTTTTACAACCAGAGCCAGAGAGAGAGAGGGAGAGAGAGGGAGTGAGGTGGGAGAGGGACAGAGGGACAGAGGAAAGGGGGAGGAAATTACAAGTAAATGGGGAAGGTTTGTCAGCTGCACTTATCTTCCCACAGTGTCTAAGTGGAGTGGTCTGAACAGGCTGTTGACAGGATTTCTACAAGAGACGTTCGGAGAGAGAGAGAGAGAGAGAGAGAGAGAGAAAGACAGAAAGAGAGAAAGAGAGAGAGTCAAAGTCAAATATTTGGATTACAGTTGTATCTACAGCTGCAATCATACCCTGGTGTAGTCCAACGGTGAACGACGACATCTGAGGGGAGGAGGAAAGACCCCGCACGTCTTGTCGGCCTCTCTGCTGAGTTCACAGTCTGGTGGCGTTCACTTCGAGTTCCACTGCTCGATGTAATGACACTAAGTGTCACTAACTGGTGGTTAAGGACGTGGACTTGGGTCCAGAAGGTTGCGGGTTCAAATCCACCATCCACCAGCTCCCACTTAGATGCACAATGCCGTCCCGCTGCCCCCTTGGTGCTCAACTGGACCTTTGCATTTCATTATGTGCTGTGGATCAGTGACAATAATTCACTTTTCTGTATTAAAGCCTTGTAGCTATAGTAAATATATTAATGCAATATATACTAGGCGTGGCAAAATCTGTCAGCTCCCCTGCCCCACACCCCAACCCCACCCCCTGCTGTGAAAACTGCTGTTCTCATTCAGTCAATAAATAAATGTGTCTGCGCAGATTAGTTCCCGCCCCCCACTTTGGGAACCACTGCCATAGGGCAAAAGCACTAGACACTCATTTACCATGTTTCAAAAAATGTATTCAAATCTGTCGTTAATTCAGGAAAATAAGGTACGTTTTTAAAGAGAGCTACTTATGAAGGTGAATCAATGGGTGTGTTGAGACTTAAATTAATTACTAATTAATTATTGATCTTCTCATTCTCTAAATCACAACGGACCTTTTCAGACCTCCCTGTTTACTTTGAATCATTACTGAGCAGCACCCAGTTGTTTTTCCCTGTATCGCAGATATTTTTAATCTACCTCCCTGTAAATCCGGTGGAAGCCGGCATTGGCTGTCAACTCAGCGCTGGAATAACATTTACCTTTTAGTTGAACAATGAGAGATTTCCACCACAGTGACAACTGGAAAAATTGATGTGGACATTGCTTTTGTTACCGTGAAATTGAAACAGCGATACTTACTGGGCTGGATCTTTTAACTCGCGGTGGGTCACTCCACAGTATGAGTTTGATTTACTTTGACCAAGGCAAGAAGGGGAAGGGGATGGTAATTCCATTTTTACCCCCCAGAGTACATGGTCGTACTGTTGGAGCATCTCGGTCTGGTGGCAGTTCTGAACCTTATTTTAGGATTATAAAATAATAAATAATCACCCCTGCAGGGCTATGACAGAGATAAATAATTATAAATAATAATAATATCCCTATTGAAGGATAAATAAACTAAATATACTACTGATATCATAAACAAAGTGGGAAAACGTGAAAAGAACATGTAACTACGTGCAACGCAGCAACAGATGCTGGTTGTTCTTATTCTTCTTTCTTAAAATTGCTTGTTTTTTCTCTCTCGTGAAATCTGGCAACAATCAGCTCTGATATGACGTCATACTATCTGCCAATTGGCACAGGTGTTTCTTCCTAATTGTTTAGAATGGACCCGTGTATAAACCCGAGTGAGAGCTAACGAACGAGCGTTCGCAGCCTCTGTATTATACACAACCACACACACACACACACACACCACACACATCACACACATCACACACATCATTCGGCCCAGATGGAATATACACAGTTATTTTTTCCTGTTTAACGGCAACAGTCCAGTGCTCTTTATTCAGACTTTGGAAACATTTACAACCACTGAAAAGCGAAGTCAACATGAAGTCATAGACTGTCAACGGTGAGTGCTACATATTTTACAATCTTGTAATTCGAATGTTTTTTATATTTGAAGAAATAATTAGTTGATGTTGTGACTACCCGCGCTTTTGTTTATGATGTCACGTGTTATTTACACTAACGACCAGATTCGTGCTGTTAAAGTTAGGCTATATCAGAGGTTGTTGTGAGATAATGCCGGTTATTATATTATTAATTCATCATATTGTAGTATTGTTATCTTAGTTCTAGGATTTAAAACTAACTATTTTTTGGCTTTATTTTTGGTTTTGTATGAATATGTGTGGCCCCGTGTGTGGGTCTCCACTGGCTGCAAGTAAGAGCAGGAGAGAATGAGTGGTCAGCAGTGTGATATGACTGGAGCAGGACTGAAGGCTCTGCTCAGGATGATGCCTATAGAAATGGTGGACATGCTGGTGGTGTGCTGCTGCTGAAAGGGACTTTTGACTCAGTGTGAAGCACCGAAGAACGAAGCCTTCCTTTCCTTCATTTCTCTTCTTTTGGGATTTTTCTTCAAACATTCAACTGTAGTAGCGTTATTCACTAAAAACAAACAACCCAACAACAACCTGTAAATTAGTAATTAATGTAAATGTCACTGAGATGGCGAGAAAAAAATATTTAAAAAGTGCAATAATCAACATTAATCGAGGTAAAAACCTGTTGCTCATGACAACAGGTAATAAATAAGAGGAAAGGAGACAGATAAATGTCATCTTTACTGTAATTGTACACACAAGGGAATTTGTCCTGGGCATAAAACCCATAATCCCATTACCACAGAGCAATGGTGGCTTTCAGTGGTGGCCAGAGAGCAAGGTGATTGGTCCCTACTCAACAAACCACAGTCAAGGCAGGTGGATTCAAACTTGCGATCCTGTAATTCATTGTTTACCAAAGACTGGGTTGCAACCCTCAGGTGGGTCGCAAGAGATTTTTTTTTTATTTTTGGGGTTGTCTTGCATCATGTTTTCCAGGAGTTTAGGAACAGTGTCGATTGACATTGGTCGCGAAGGTTTGTGACTTTTAAAATATGGGTACCCAGAAAAAAAGTTGCTGCTGTAATGTCTAGGACACGGACTGCCCCCCCACCACCCTGTATACTGGAACGCTTCCCAAATTTGCATGTCATCTGCAGTGTTTCATCAATAATGACAGTTGGCTTCTTATCTGGGACAAACCTGAAGGTGTAGCCTATTTATTTATAAATGAAATCAATTTCCATCTAAAACCAGACCCAGATCATGTTAGATTCAGACCGTCCTTGGTTCACAGGCTCAGATGTAGTTTCTTAACTCATCAAAAATACCTATTAAACTATTAAATCCTCCTTCCAGTACTTGCGTATTTTTGGCAGAGACGAATGTAAAGGTAGAAGGCCACTAAATGAATTTTTTTTGCGAAACTAAGTCTGTATCAAGGAAGTCTATTACTGCTGGGCTTAAAAGACCAGTTAATATTTCACTGAGAGATTCTGTGCTCTCAGATGCCATTGATTGGTCTTTCTATTTGGCGTTGCTGTAGATTATCATCTAATTTAGAGGAATACAGTATGACTCAAAATTGACAGTTCACATTGAACTTTGTTTCGTAAACTGGTATTCCCCCAGGAGAATTAATATATATATGTATGTGTGTATATATGTATGTATGTATATGTGTGTGTGTATATATATATATCAGGTATATGTATGTATGTATATATTTATGTATATATGTGTCACGATGGCAGTCGTGACTGTTGTTTCCCTGTGTTGTGTTTACTTGTCTCTGTCTGTGTTGTGGGCGTGGCACATTTCCCTGGTCCCTCCTGGATAATCACAGATGAAGCACACCTGCCGTTCCTCAGCTCACCTGCCTTCCATCAAGTCATCACTCCAACTGCATATAAACCCTGGCCTTTCTCCCACTCCTTGTCAGTGTTTGTTCAGTCACTGTGGTAGTTCACGTTCAGATCGCCTTAAACTATTGTTCCTTGTGCTTCCTGTTGGTTTCCTGACTGATCTCTAACCACCGATCTTCTTGTGCTCAGGTCCACCACCATCTTCACCTCCTGCCATCTGCTTGCCTGCTCTCCACCAACCTCACCTCAGCCATTCCCTCCACCTCGCTATTGGACCCTCTCCTTCCCCTTTTATTTTCACGTCACAATAAATAATAATAAATAAACAACCAACCGTTGTCTGAGCCTGCATTTTGGGTCAGTACCTGTGTAACCATGACAATATGTATATATTTATACATATGTATATATTTTTGTATGTATATACATGCTTAAATATATTTAAATATATATTTTGCAGAGTTAAGTTTATTGCTGTTTTTTTGCCAACAACTTTTTTTGCGTAGCAGATTCAATCACCTTCCGCGTCACAAAGCGGAGAGTTATGATAACATTCAATAATTCTAATTTGTACACTCCCTTATGTTGCGTTCCCGTTGGACGCTGCCCTCACAAGTGTTTGGTCAGTTCAGCTTCAGTTTGAAGTCACCGATGCAGCGATTCAGCCTGCTGAGTAGACATTTGAATTATACTGTAACATGCAGTATAATCTGGGTTGTTGCTCGGTAACATTTTAGGTTGCGTGGCTGCTATCCAGGTTTTTTAGATGTTTTTTTTTTTTTCTGTCTTGTCTGTGAGGGCAGAAAATGTGTATACGTGTGTATGAGCAACAGGAATGGAATGGAACGCAGCCTCTGCTGAATTCATAAAAAGAAGCAGCAGTGGGAAGAACAAGGGTTATAGGGAAATAATATGGGATGGAGCAGAGATAAATTGTCACTATTGCTGCTAATTAAAGACAAACGAGGGGAGCGTGGATTGAGGGTTGGTTTTTTTTTTTTCATAGATGTAATGCCACTTTAGTGTAGCTTCTTTGTGACACTAGGGGGTGCTGCCGCTCCTCCTTTTACCTCATGTAGGGGGCCGTAGAGTCAGACGGACCCCAGACAGACAGACAGAATGAGAGGTGAGTTTGCCCAACCGGTCCACACGTTTTGTGAACTTGGAAAAGGCTTTCGACCGTATCCCTCGTGGTATTCTGTGGGGGGTGCTCCGAGAGTATGGGGTTGGGGGCCCTCTTCTAAGGGCTGTCCGGTCCCTGTACGATCAGAGTAGGAGCTTGGTTCGCATTGCCGGCAGTAAGTCGGACCTGTTCCCGGTGCATGTTGGACTACGGCAGGGCT